TCAGCCCAAGATATCTTCGGATTGTGAAGCTGTAGCCAGGGAAGTCCAAGGTCAAGGTCAAATTGCGCTAGCTTAATCACAAAGAGATATATCATTTCGTTATGACCATTTATTGCCAGTGAAGTCATGGCTAAATAAGTGATCTGGCCCGCAGCCGACTCAGTTCCATCGAAAACACAGAGGGAGCGAGGTTGTTCTAAGGTTATCAAGTTCAAGTCATTTTTGCGCGCAAAGTGAGCATCAACAAATCCACAGGCAGAAGCGCCACTGTCAATTAGAGCACGAGAAGGAACGGGTTTTGATTCATTATTGTAAGTAAGGCAGTTAATTACAAAGTGACAAGATTCTCTCCAAGATTTTCTAAAAGCAGATGTGGATGATAGTTTCAATGCTGGTAAAAAGCTCTTCAGGCGACTTGTTGAAGAGCTCAGGCATTTCCCGAATAGGTGCTACTTTTGGTATTTCGACAGTTTTCCAAGACACTTGGAAGCGGGCTGATTTAACCGGACAAGACCTTACCAAGTGATCATTTTCTCCACAGTACATGCACAGACCGAGTTGGCGACGTCGTGTCTTTTCTTCAGTGGCTAAGGAGCCTCGTGATCGCATATCGGCCGCTGAAAGATCCATTGGGTGTCCAACTGGATTGAATCTTGGGAGTAGCGGATTGTGTGGAGCCTGAGGTGGAGGCTGGTATTGATTGGATTTGGACAAGGTATCAAGGTAAGACTTCTGCTCATTTTCTATATCCTGGAGGCACGCTACTGCTTCGTTAAAATCCATTTTTCTTAATCCTCTTTCATGCACTAATGCTTTTTTCAGATCCAGACTCAGATTGTGGAAGACCAGATCGCGAAGATAAATGGAATTCGGAGCATAATTTGCAATTGCTGCATCACGTCGGATCTCAGAAATCCAAACTGAGAAAGGTTTGCTGTTCTGAGGATTACTATGTAGTCGTGCTGATGCATCACGCTCCAGATTCGGGTCGTGAAATATGACGTTCAAGGTCTCCATCATATCAGCAGCCGAAGGAAATTTAATGAAGCTATTTGATACCCAAGCATGAAGGTGGGCCTGGCATTGTGTGTCCAATCTGGAATAGATGTAAACCATTATTGCCTGGTCATCGGAAAAATGATCTTGGTTGACATTTAGTTTCATGAGCATATTACTCCTCCAGATGTCAAAATCTTCTTTTGAGCCCGTGTAGACTGGCGGATCGGGAATCATCACAGACCTGGACCTTTTTGATTCTTTCAAGGCGTCAACAAATTGGCTCATTAAAGATTCCGTATCTGCTGCAGGGCGCTTGCCTTTGGCTGCCTATTTTTCGAGCACGGCAGTTCTTTTCTGTGCGTTTTGAAGCTCTGCGCTTGCGGTCTCCTTGCTTCGTACTAAAGCTTGTATGGCAGCAAGCATGAGGTCTGGGTGATTCTTCACCCCTTCGACAAGTTGAGAGACGTTGGATATACTGGACATTTGGTCTAGAAGGTCTGGTTCGGCGGGAACTGAAGACGACATGGTGGAGACTATTGAATATATTATAGAGCTTCCTTAAGTACCTGAGACCGGTCACTACAATCAAGGGTGCAATAGCACACAGTTGTTACATAGCAACTGATCAGTATCTTGACTAGTGACTGTTGCTATCACAACACTGTAACCATCGCAACGCACTAACCCTATTCCTGAGTGTATTCATGGGGCGGTTGGCCAGGTGCAATACAATATCACAAACTGGTCTGTGACAATACTCTGATACTTGATTTTCACTATTTTCGGGAGTTTGGGGTTTTGCTGTTATGTATATTGGAGATTATCCATTTTGATGATGTATTTGCTGCAAATTTGGCCGGAATGAGGAGGAGTTTTCGAGGTTGGATGAGGGCTCAGAAACTTCTGGTTGGTTTTCATAAGATAAGATTTCCTTTGGAGAAATTTCAGTTTCTGTCACTTTTATTTGCATGTGATTGCTTCGAGTGTCAAGGGCGTTTATTACTGTTGCTCCCCCTGAATCGAGCGGCGCAAATTTGACGTTGGGAGATTCGATTACTTTATTCTTCGAAGGGATCCATATCCTGAATATTTTTGTGCTTTCTGTGTATCCCACAAACTTGCCTTCCGTAGCTCTTGATAGTAGCTTTGTTCCTGCAGGTTGCGAGTCCTTGTGTATGTGAACAAAGCAGTTTTTGCAAAAAGATTGGAGATGGTGTATTGTGGGTTTAGTGCCTAGTAAGGCCTCATATGGCGTGGTGTGGGTGGGTAGCCGTGAATGAGGGAGGCGATTTTTTAGGTAGCAGGCGGTTGAGAATGCTTCCGCCCACAGTGAGGTGTATAGTTCAACGTTACGGGTTTACCCGCTACTGGTTGTCTGGGCTGAGCTGCGTGCCCAGCCTTGCATTTAATTCGGACGTAGCGAAAGGCTGGGCGTTTCGCACTAACAAGTTCTCTCTATAGTGCTTATGTAAGGTAATTGTCAGGGCGCACTTTATGTCCGCACAATCCAGTTGCAGTTATCTCTCCCACAGAAGAATATTAATTAATTATAGTATTGTTTGCGTGCAGTGACCATCTGCTTTCGGAGGGTAAGACTGAACACCTGTACGCGGTGTTCTCTACGAACCTGGGAGTGAAACATTCTCCCAGAGCCAAGTTCAGTCAAATTTCGCAATATTAAAGAAGTTGGCCCACGAGGCAAAAATCCAAATTACTCCTCCATGTCGTTATTTCGCTCCCAACGAGTTTGACTCCTATCTTCGTCTCATCAACTCTACAAGTAAGACCAAGTACATCCTCATCCCGATGACCACACCGCTCTTCGCGCTTCTCTGGCCTCAGTTGACCGCCAAATACACGCCCACGCCGATATTTATACCCGACGGAGGAAGCAAAGCGTGGCGCACAACTCTAGGAGACCGTTCTTTGGAATGGACGTGAGAGGGATTAGAAGAAGTTCACAAAATGGTGCAGAGGACGGAAACAGTCTCGACGGGCGTGAAATTCCGAATTTTGGCAAGGAGCTCTCACAAATTGTACTTTTTGCGCGCCAAGTCTTCGCTTGCGAGAGTGCAGGCGAAACTAGAAAAACAAGCCATCGATGGAAGGTGTTGTGGTCCGCCTCCTAGTGGTGTTCTCCGTTATAGTTTGAGTAGCCGGGGCACTCACTTCACTTGGGAAGGAGACACCAAAGACTAAATTTCGCGCGGAGAAATGTGAACAGATGATGGAGGCATGTCTGGATAACTCAGGGTTTTTGAGACGTTCCCCTGGGCGGGTATTCACGGATGAGGGTTGACTTGGGGTGAAGAAAAAGCCACCACAACTTCGCAGTGGTACTCGCAAATGAAATATGAGGCATGAGTTCTTTTTCCTTACGTTGAATCATCTATTCTGTACTTATCCTTGATATTGTGTCATAGCTAGATAGCTGCATACGCAATTAAAATCTGATGCATGAAAAGAGGCTTTGGTTGCGATAGTGAAGGCGACAGTACAAACACTGCCATGGCTGGATGGTAAGGCGGTACATCTTGTTGGCGAGTCTCCCAAGTAAGGTCTGCACAGTTATGACACACATCCCACTCGAGAGAGTAGATCGCTGGTTCAAACCTGGCAAAACTAAATTACTATTCCCGCGGCGTTGGTATACATAGATGATGAAGGCATGCTTTGATAACCAAAGTTTTTTAAATTCCCTTTGGTCGGTACTAATGGAGGAGGGTCGACTGTTTGTGTAAGCGAACAAACATCATAGTGGTATTTGCAAATGAAATCCAGAGAATGAGTGTCTCTAACGGCAAAAGAGTCATCATACATGTATACTTAGCACCGGTCATGTGTCATAGCTAGATAGCTACGTAGACATTAAATAATTTTAAGGGGGACTATTCTCAACACCTGTCAGTGGTGTCCCCTACGAACCTCCAGCTCTCACTGTAGAGTCTGCAGAGCCGTGATTGAGTAACACCTTATCAACTTTGAGCTGAGTTATCTCCCCCTTCCTCAAAGATACGCTTCCTATAATACATAAGATGACCAAGACGATGATAATGATGCTGGGAATGAGGAAAGATAATGCGGTACCAATCGCTACAATGGTAGTCAGAGAAGCCCTCGTTATATCACAACTTGTGCTACCCACCGGCGGGCGAACAAAAAGCTCACGAAAGCAAAGGAAAAGACCCTTCCACTTTCAAGGATAGCAGATTTGGACTCGGCAATAATATTCTTCCTTCTAATCTATACTTCCGAATATACTAGCCAGGAGACCATCTGAAATACATGAGTTACTCGACGACCCCACGTCCGTAACGACTTTTGGATGCTAAGCTAGGCTCCTTCACGACAGTCACTCTTGACCAAGATTTTTCTGACATCCATTCCAACCTTCGATTTGTCCTGCGGCGTAAATCAGGGGAGGAGTAAGGAGGAGGCTAGGAAGGTTGAGAGACACTCTTAGGTAAACACAGGTCTGCTGCGCCCGGCTGGCCGGCCTCTTCGTCATAGGAGAGTCCCGCACCCAGTAGTTTTTGAGACTTTTCCCTGCAGCTACACACCCGCAAATGGCCATCGTTTCGTCGGCTGGAGAGGGGAGATAACGACGGGATAACGGCTCCTCTTAGTGTGTACTCGAATGAAGACCTGTGGGGGTGTTACTGCTGGAAAGAAGTCGTGAGGGAGGCAAAGGAGGGAGTACACTATCCGAGGCATAGAAACTCCCGGTCTGTAGGCAAAAAGGACCTACATGTCCTGACATAGTGTTTATTGTCCTAAAAGGTCTATAACTAACTCACTCACCCACTCAAATTATTTTAAAAAAAATACCGTAACAAGGTGCCGGGTACCCTGGCAGAGGGCGCTGCGCACGGGCATTCAGCTTCCCAAGCAGATTGTGATACGACCAAAATACTTTCATCACCGATAACGATCAATCGTTAATCCACACCGCTATTACTCTAGATACAACGTTTTCCCAGCTCATCGATGCCATTTTCTACATGTACTTCACTTCAGCAGTCAGCTGTTGTTTGCTCGTGCTAGTACCAGCTTCTCTATTATCTTCCTTCTACCTATACGTCTATCCACTTTTCCATTTCTGTACTTTCCCATCGCCGAATCAAGACACCCGCTCCGCATACCTTACCACCCTCCGATACCACGCCCCTCTCTTAAAACCCAACGCTCAAAATGTAGCTCCATTTCGGCTTCTTGTCTTCGGTGATCCCCAGTTGGAAGGTGACTCAAGCATAAAGCACGTAGAGGCTATAACATTTCCGAACTTGAAAAAATTTTGGCGAGATTTAAGGAATCATTCAATTCTTCAACGAGTCCGGCTCAGCCTTCATGACTTGATAGATTTCCACCTGGATGATATTCCAAAAGCTATAGGTGTATGGCGAAAGCGACTTGACCATGTTGGCAACGATTATTACCTTGCCCACATATACCGGACACTAAAATGGTGGGCAAATCCTACTCACAGCGCAGTTCTTGGCGACCTGGTCGGCAGTCAATGGATTGATGAGGACGAATTCAAGCAACGCGGTTGGCGATTTTGGAATAGGGTCTTTAAAGGAGGTATCAAGGTCGAAGACGAGTTGACCACCTCTGACAAACCAGGTGGTCAGAAAGCTCGAATTCTAAGTGAAGACTCTGATGCTTGGAGAAGGCGGATAATCAATGTTGCTGGCAATCATGATATCGGCTACGCTGGAGACATGTCTTCCGAACGCCTAGCTCGGTTTAAAGAAGTCTTTGGCAAGGCTAACTATGAGCTTCGCTTTCAACTTACGAACAATACTACGAGCCTGCCCATAGATGGACAAGTTAGACCCGTGCCAGAGATACGAATTGTTATTCTAAACAACTTGAACCTTGATACGCCTGCGGGCTCAAAAGAATTGCAGGACGAAACATACACATTCATTAATTCTATTATCGCCGACTCAGAAAATGTCGAGCGCTTGGCCCATTTTACATTGCTCCTAACACATGTTCCATTGCACAAAGAGGCCGGTATCTGTGCCGATGAGCCATTTTTTAGCTATTTTGTCGACGAATATGAGAATGGATTAAAGGAGCAAAATCAGTTATCAAAGCATTCTTCAAAGGGTATCTTGGAAGGTATTTACGGGATGAGTGCAGATCCAGCTGCTGCTGGCCAAGGATATGGAAGAAATGGGATCATTTTGAATGGACACGATCACGAGGGTTGTGATGTCTTTCATTTTATAAATCAGTCTGCGTCCGAACCCCCGGAATGGAGTTGCACAAAATGGGATATTGCACGCTCTAACAACATTCTGCATCAGTCAGGAATTCCTGGCCTAAGAGAAGTAACCGTCAGGAGTATGATGGGTGATTTCCGTGGCAATGCCGGTCTATTGAGTGTGTGGTTTAACGAAGATACTTGGACATGGAAATCTGAGTTTTTAAATTGTGAACTGGGACCGCAACATATTTGGTGGGTTATTCATATATTAGACATAGTTACCCTTTGTGTCATACTACTTTACAGTGCCCTTGTACGCTACGAAAAGCGTTTCCCAAGGCAGACAGGTCGAGCTATGTCCAGAAAAAAGCACACCAAGCGATAAATATGCCAGAAGCCAAACATGGAAAAAGTTAATATTTTTTGATAATCAGTCTAAAAGAGGGTTAGATGGAATTTAGAGATGAGGGTAACTTATTAGCGAAACTTGCTTGGAAATTTGGGTAAAACTCCCATGTACACATTGAAATATTTTATCCATCGTTATTTAACTCGATCTCCCAAACATCTAATCGTAAGGACCCATTTGAGTATTGGTCTTATGCCTTAGACGAGTCTCATAATGTCAACTTGTGGGCTACTCAAAGATCCGAACCAAGAATTTTTAAGCATATATTACCTGACACTGCCAGCAGCTACAAATATCTTGTTTAGTAGATACTTAGTATTGACTTTACCTGTACCTATCTAGCACCTTACCAGCAGTAGCTACAAGTTCAAACAACTGTTGGCATGCATAGCATTGACGGTATCTCATCACCGTGGCTAAGACTATTAGACGTGTCAGCACGCATTTCTACTTCGTATACCCTCAGATATTCTTGGTACAGCCGGTATTCCCTTATTTAGATGCGCAAATTTTCTTTCTAATAAGTACCTGAAACACAGATTAATTCATATAGCCTTGAAGCGGGTCTCAAACTAATCATACTTGTTGGAACCTCACTGTTTTTAAAGATGGGTCTGATCTGTGGCCGATTGCCACTTTTTATCTGGAAGCTAAACTTTGTGCACGATCTCTTATCTTTCAGGTTCAATAGATGAGCCTATTTATGATGATTAGTCTGGCAGCACCCTAGTTATTAGGGAGAATTTCTGAAAATCATAATCAATGAGGCATTGTAATCCGACATTATTATTCTTGTACTATTAGATCCCTATCCTAATTTAATAACCTAAACGCCAATGCTTGAGACAACGGATTAGACATTACAGAGAATCAAAGTGAGCAACTTTATCTCTCAAATGACAAGGGTATTTCGTTAAATCGTTAAAAATTTTCCCTCGTGGTATTAGGAGAGATTCTTGGATTAATGGGTACTTTCAGCAGGCGCATTAATTGTGGTTATATTTCTTTCATCGTCGCTTCGCTCCTGTTTAACATTCCTAGGGGAGGTTGTTGTGTTGAAAGAATCTCTTTGGCTTAGCGATCGGGTTGATACTGCGATCGGGGGAGTTGTTATCCTGGCAGATTTTTCGGACAAAATCATAGTAACATCCCCATCGTAGTCCTGACTGTTAGCAGGTGAATTTATTACTGTTGACGTTGGAAACATTCCATGATTAGTTAGGTTGGTGGGCTTTGACTCAGTAGAGGTTGGACAAAAAGATGCATCACTCTCCTTGACATGAGGGAAGCTAGCCGATGATGAGTTGAGAGATGGTTTTGAAGAAATCGTACCACTCTCAACTTTCAATTCTGAAACAATTGGCGATGTAACTTTAAATTCTGCAATATTACGACGCTTATTTGCTCCGTTTTGACGGCGTACGCCATAAGCAGCAGCAGCATCTTTTTCGTCATCACTGTCTTCGAATTCATTTTCTCTCGTAACACGTGCATCGAATTGTCGCTTTGATGTGCGAATATCTTTGTGATCGTCTTCGTCCATATCGTTGGTTGTATCATCGTCATCCTCAGTGCCGCCAAGTATGGTAGTTCGCGGTATTTCGGTCATCTGAACAGATGGAGCAAATGTTGTTTTCTTCAGATTTTCGATGACTTGTTCTGTTATCTTCTTCAGGTACTCCTTCGAATTAGCGTTTTCCATATTTGACGAGCGAACATCGAGCTCATAATCAGGGCCATAGTACTGAGAACGTTAGGAAGGCCTTATATTTAGAATATATGCTTACCTCGTAGTACTCGTTATATGGAAGGGTAAGCGGCAGCTCTTGACCGACCAGTACACCAGTTTCAAATGCCCAAGTTCTTGCAACATTTCTCATCGTATATCCTCCGCCTCCTAGTACTAAAGTAGGAATGTTAAAACTTTTGACGTACGCAACGCAGTTTGCATGCCCTCTCATGCTAAGATTAAAACATCCTAACCGGTCACCTGACAAACTGTCACCACCGCACTGAAGAACTATAGCCTCGGGTTGATAGTACTTCATTACGTTTTCAATCACAGGCTCAAAGATGTCTTTGTATGTGTGATCATCTATACCATCGCGAAGAGGAAAATTAACGGAATAATTTTTGCCCTGGCCGACGCCAATATCTCGTAGCTCACCAGTGCCTGGAAAATATTCGCCGTATTTGTGAAATGAAACAGTCATTACCCTATCGGTAGTGTAGAAAGCTTCCTCTACACCGTCTCCGTGATGAACGTCTATGTCAATATAGAGAACTCGTTTCTTAAAACGAAGTAGCTCTATAATTCCCAAAACTATATCTGGTATGAGTCAGTACAATTCAGTCACGAAATTTGTGAAAATTACCGTTTACGTAGCAAAAGCCACTTGCTTCGCTCTTCTTCGCATGATGAAGGCCACCAGCCCAGTTGACAGCGATGTCGCACTTGCCACGGTTAATTCTTGCAGCGCCTTCCATGCTCCCTCCTGCACTTATACCACAAAATTCGAAGAGCCCGTCGAAGACTGGACAATCATCACCCACGTTATATTTTCCTTGCTCTTTTGCGAAGCTATCCATGTTGTCTGGCGTTACTTTTTGGAGGAAGTCTATATATTCATCCGTATGAAATTGAGTCATCTCGTGCCGGGTCGCTGGCTTTGCACGCTATAAGAGCGTTAAACATGAGTTACTTTCAGGTACTGTACCAGTAATAAAAGAACAAATCAAGGTATGACAGAGCATTTCTAAGTTTTCTATGCATTGAAATAAAAAATATATCTAAAGGGCAACGTCTGATCTCGACCTTTCATTGGGGATATTTTTGGCAAGGGAATCTGGTATAAAAACAGCAGCCGAGAAATTGTAGCAGTACGGTAATCTGGGCTGTGAGAATTTATCACTTACATAAATTTCCATATGATGGTAAGTCCCATAATTCATTATCAAGCTGTGCGCTAGGCGTATTCTGTGAGGCTTCATTGGATGCCCAGCCACGTACGCATAGTTTCCTACATCAGAATCATAGAAGTATGCAACCCTTTTCTTGCTTGATGGCCCAGCTTGAGCTGAAGATCCCAGAGGACCTAATGAATTTGACATTTTGTTTATCTGGTAAAATTTGAGGTAATTACTCTAGTGAACCTTTGAATAAGAAGTTGTTTGACGTACATTCAGTGCTGGAAGCTATTTAATGATTGAGTTGAGAGAAGTTGAATTGCGTAAGTTTTTCCCGGGATAATCAAGTTGATTATAGAAAAGTTTGAAGATTTTTGTAACGCCTACCTTTCACCTCTCCACAAAAGCGGAATAAGTTAGAGTTATCACTGCCAGATCTTGCGTGAGAAGCACTCGAGATATTGGTTGGTGAATGAGATCGTGGATAGTTGACTCAATTATTTTTTACCAATACTCTAGAGATAACTATCTTAGTTAGTTTCTAGGCCAGGGAGTAAAGCTTGACAGGGAACATATCAATATTGTGTTTTGTACTTAGCGTCGATAATTAGGTTGATCTCGTTCAGCCTTGCATAGTCACGTGATATTAATGGCTTCAAACTTGATGTCCAGACAATGCATATTGACTGCGACGACTAAAGCTACGCGATTGACTTTACAAATTCTAACAATCTCGGTAGACTTTGCAAAAATTCTGCCAATTTCATCCTCAGATTCGACCTAGCTCATTACCAGAAAGGGGAAGTCACACAAAATGGATCGGCTGAACCGAATGTTAGCGTCCGCAGGTAATATGAGTGGCCTCAATAGTACAGCTCCTGGCTCTGTAAGTAGGACTCTCTGCGGCTGTACACTTAGTTCTAGCCCAGTATAAAGCTAATCTAGTAAATTACAGGACAATACTAAGCTAATTGACAATTCTGAAACTGTATATATCTCATCTTTAGCTCTTCTCAAGATGTTAAGGCACGGAAGAGCAGGAGTGCCGATGGAAGTTATGGGCTTAATGTTGGGAGAATTTGTGGATGATTTCACAGTAAGAGTCGTGGATGTTTTTGCCATGCCTCAGAGCGGAACTGGCGTCAGTGTTGAAGCAGTGGATCCTGTTTTCCAAACAAAAATGATGGAAATGTTGCTTCAAACGGGACGGTACAAACCCAAAGATGAAGTAAATCGTATTTAAGCTGACAAACGCATCAATTTAGTCCAGAAACGGTAGTAGGTTGGTATCATTCGCATCCAGGATTTGGCTGCTGGCTATCATCAGTTGATATCAATACTCAGCAATCTTTCGAACAGCTCACTGCCCGCGCGGTTGCTGTGGTAGTTGATCCAATTCAATCTGTAAAAGGAAAGGTTGTCATTGATGCATTTCGGCTTATTAATACGCAATCACTAATGCTTGGTCAAGAGCCACGACAAAGCACGTCCAACTTAGGTCACCTCAATAAACCATCTCTTCAGTCTCTTATACATGGTCTCAATAGACATTATTACAGTATTGGGATTAATTATCGAAAGACAGCCTTGGAAGAGAATATGCTGATGAACCTTCACAAACATGTTTGGACAGAGGGATTAGAAATGGATGACTTCAGGGTTGAAAGCGCTAGAACTCAAGGAAGATTACAAGATCTAGTTGGACTGGCCGAGGGATACGAGAAGCGTGTTAAAGAAGAGACAGAGTTGAGCAAAGATCAGCTCAAGACCCGATATGTTGGAAAGCTAGATCCAAAGAAACATCTGGAAGATGTTGGTCAGCAATTGATCGAGGATTGTATCATATCGGTATCAAGGCAAATGATTGATAAAGAAGCTTCTGCACCTAAAGAGAAGTCAATTATGAGGAATACGAATAAGGAACAAGACAGAATGGATATTGAGGAAGAACTATAATTACACTGTGGGAATTATTTACAAATGGCGTTTGGTAAAATACGTGAAATCAGTTGAAACGTCAAGTCGGGTTTCATATACTGAATGTGACAATCCAATTCAGTCAAGTGGAACTTAAGCAGCTATATGCTGCTAGAAAGAATAAGAAGTGGTAATATTTGACATACATAACATAGAGGAATCCCACCTCAAACACATTGCGCACACATTGTCTTTTTTTATGGAATTTTCGCTGCGCGCAATTCGCCTCAATCTTCATATAAAATTGCCATATGAGCAAGTATTCAACAGTTTAAATATCTATCGTGAGAAAACTAGAAATGGTTGTTGTAGCCCATAATCAAGACTTGTGTTATGCAATCACATTATTTGTCGGCTTACTTTTTGTTGCATTGTAAATTCATACTTAAATTAACACACTTCTTGAAGAATGAATGAATGAATGATTATTTGTGACGGGCACAAGTCCTGCACCCAGAGAGCATGACACGGAGAAAACAAGCTTCTCTGACGACTATATACGACGATAACTCAGTTTGACGTTTGGACTACACATGTAGTGAGTGCATTCGCTGATACCACTCGAGACCTTGGTACTAGGGACTCTCACCCTTCCCTCAACCGTTAACATCCACCAAAGGGAAAACAGGAAAAACCTTTGGCTACCCTAACATGCCTTTGCCATTTTGTATATAGCCGCCGCGCGAGATATGCCTTCACAGTCCTCCCTTACTCGAGTGAGGTAGGTATCTAGGCTACCCAGACTTTAATTAGGGGAGATGACATCCAGGAGGCAGACCAAAACACCTTCCATCGTGGCCAGTTTTTAGAGTGTCGGTAGCACTATCCTGAATCGTTGCCTCTGCACCCACAGACACCCTTGAGTCGAAAACACTCGAAAAATATGCGTCCAAGCATGCCCATTTGTGAACTCTTCATTCGATCGTCCCACGTCCCAGCTGCCTTTCATCCCTCAAGATGTGAAGCCCCATTAGAGCACCGGTCCCCCGTAGACCAAGACCCGAGCTTTGTAGATTATGACTTGATTTCCTCCTTGCGGGTATACATAGCATCGTAAATGTGTAGTGGAAGTTGGCCGATTTTTGATGGGGCAAATGCCCAATTGCAATTGGAGTAACGCCATTATCGGTACTTGAGGCGAGGTAGTGCAGTAAGATTGAAGTAGATGGCTCGCATAAGAATGATAGATCCGACATTGACGAGAAGTCGTCTATTTTAGATGTGCTTGTGAGTGCTTTCGACTTCGATTTGGATGCGATTCTTCTTGGCTATCCCAGATATGCAGAGCATACTGAGCGATTACACCGGCACCACTGGAAGATGAAGAATTCGTCTTTGCCGGCGACACTTCTTGAAGAATTATCGTAGATGTCAAATTAAATAATTGTTGGTCAAACATAATTATTCTTGCACCTGAACATAATGGAGTTGTGATATGATATTATTATTATCGTGACCGGGTACTACCCCATCACCCGGAGGGCATGGCACGGGTAGTCTAGAGTTGCCTCCGTGGCAAAACTAGATATTCAACGCCGATAATTCCCTGGAATCTTGGCTCTCCTGAAGGTTCCATAGCGTTTAATAAATGGCTTCATGAATCATGCTTTTTTGAAGGATGCAATAACAACACTAACTAGTACTTCAAACCATAAACACTCGGCCTATATTTGCTAGAGCTCAGATTTAAAGACTGTTGATCTAGGTGATGGATGACTTTCCTGTTAATATAGATAACTATCTTCTCTACTGTATTAGAATACAAAGGTCACAGCTGGGGAGTAGTCTTGACTTCAATTGTTAGTTCAGGGTGCATTTTATTTTGCATCAGGTTTTAATTGCGTATGCAGCTATCTAGCTAGGACACAATATCAAAGAAAAGTACAGGAAAGATGACTCAATTTACAAGAAGAGTACTAATACCTCAAATTTCATTTGCAAGTACCACTGCGAAATTATGGCGGCTTCTTCTTCACCCCAAGTCAACCCTCATCCGTGAATACCCACCCAGGGGAACATCTCAAAAGCCCTGAGCTATCCAGACATGCCTCCGTCATCCATCAACTTTTCTCCGCGCGAAATTTAATCTGAGATATCTCCTTATCAAGCGGAGTAGGTGCCCAGCCTATTCAAACTATACCGGAGAACATCACTAGGAGGCGGACCACAATACCTTCCATCGTTGGCTCGTGTTTATAGTGTCAGCTGCACTTTCGCAAGCGAGGACTTGGCCCGCACAAAGCTCAATCTGTAAAAACACCTTGACAAAATCCGAAAGTTCACGCCCGTCGTGACTGTATCCATTTTCTGCATCATCTCGTAAACTTGTCCTTATCCCTCAAGTCCATCCCAAAGAACTGTCTCCCAGGTTTGTGTGCCACGCTTTGCTTCCTCCGTCGGATGTAAATATAGGCGTGGGCGTGTATTTGGTGACGAGCTGAGACCAGAGAAGGTCGACGAGAGGTGTGGTCATTGGGATGAGGATGTACTCGGTCGTACTTGTAGCCCTGATGAGGCTTTGGTAGGAATAGATTTCGTTGGGAGTGAAATATTGACACAGAGGAGTACTTTGAATCATTGCCTCGTGGGCCAAGTTGTTCGATATTGCGAAATTTGACTTAACTTTGCTCTGGGAGAATATTTCACCCCTAGGTCCGTAGAGGACACCGCGTACAGGTGTTCAGTCTTGCCCTCCGATTGATAGATTGAGAAGCCGGATAGCTACTCTGTAGTAGTTCCAGCGTCCTTAAATATAAGTCAAGCACGTAATGTAAGTCAACTGAGGCTACAGCAAGGTCTGACTGTGACTCCAGCCCCTCTAACTCTATGTGTAGAGATTTTCCGAGAACCCTCAAGCTGAACTATCTTCAGAGGTGTCTCTCCACAATGGCAATCGATGGCAGAAAGAACATTCATACCTTTGAAAAGTCACAGATTGAGAAGGACAATTAAGACAAAATATTTGGGTAAATTTGAGTGGCTACAATCTTGCGAAAGTTTCATGTACAGCCTATGTCAGTAAAGTAAAAAATAGTGATACTAAAAGATATGCTATACATGGAGTCCAATGGTGGATCCAGCTTACAAACTTAATCTTGTGAATATACACGCATACTTGAGGTGATAATCATGTTATAAAACTCCGATGTGACCGCGTTCCCAACCACATTTTTGAGAGACAATGTCAGCTATTTTAATCTACAATATAACAAAAATATGTACAGGCGATTTTACAGAGTTCTTCTGGTTACATACAGTTCTGGTCGGCTCCAGAGCATTATTAAGGAGCTTTTCCCCGATGAGTGCATCATAATATTTTCTAATTGAATAACTATTTTACATTTTGATTGTTATATCATTCCATATGCCCTACACATGAATTACCATCAAAGAGGTGAGAATGTGAAATTTGAAGCACATCTGTGCTGTTATGAACTGTTACTAGAATATTGAGGGACTGGATATTTGTCTCAAATGGCCCGGAAGTGAAAAGAAAAATGGTCAGCGAACTAATTTTTTGAATCTTCAGACTGATTTCCATGGAACCAGCCAGTTAAGCCTGACTTCATAGCTTTCATGCTCTCTTCTTTCGATTTTTCCTCTAAGGCCGCCTCTTCTTTCAACCACTTTTCTCCATTCTCACGTATTTCTTTTTCTAAAAGCTCATAATTTCTTTGGCCTCTTTCACGTGCTAGATCTTGTAACATCTTACCTTGGGCAAATGCTTCAGATGGGGTTTGTTCTTGAGGGTCCATCATCATCATTGATTGGTGCTTGATTCCTAGTGCATTCCCAAGGAGGCCCACGCCGGATCGCTTGGGTCGCTTCTGTTTTTCTTGCTCTAGTTGTTCATTGAATTTCTTTCGAGCAATAACTTCACGCCTTGAAAATTCAGTCGGAATATGTTTGCCTTTGAATGATGCCAAGGCTTGTCTAACATCTGTATAGGCCATAGTATGGATGTACTCCAAGAATGGTATGAGTGACACTAGCTCTTTATCTGTAGGATCACCCTTCCAAGGTTTTAAAACTATAGCATTTTCTGGTTGTTTCTTTACATGATCTTCGTGAGTTTCTATAATAATAACCTTTGAGAGGTCCCGATTAAGGTAAGAGAGGTCCTACACTTATTAGATTCCAATTCAATTAACTTTGGAGTTAAATTTACCTTGATATATTCACCGTTTTCATATAGGGTTGCCTCTCGGAAAAGAGGCCACATAATGATGTGATAAGGGTCCAACTTTCTGATAACCGGCTCAGCAAACTGAGACGGTTGACTGGTAAAGACAACAAGTTCAAAATATTGGCTAAGGTATCTTAGGAAGTAATCCACTCCTGGTCTCTTCGCCAGCCTCCAGCCATTTTCCCTGGACCACTCACTACAAATTAATAGATCTTCTAAGCTTAATACAAGAGTGTATGGTCTTTCAAACATAGGCTCCACATCAGGCAAAAGTTTTCGGAAAGCAGGTTCATGGTAGTAACTAAGCTCATCTTTGACTCGGGCTTTTGCGCGCTTCCAAATGAGTTGAAATGACCATCCGGATGGTGTATCTTGATGAGCCTTTTCTTCCTCTTCTGAGCCCCAGTTACGGCCGAGGTAGAGCGTTCCTGAAAATGATAGCAAAAAGAATGCACCATACAAGTAATTCGCAACCTTTAACCGCTTTTTTTCTGACGATGATACGTATGCAGATGCTGGGAGGGCCCCTTCCCGACCGCGATTCCATCCATCAGGTTGTTTCTTGTTCATTAGAGTTAGATTTTGGGCTCCAACACTTTGATTGGCGGAAAATTCTAATGAGGGGGGGATGCCTTGAGTTAAGTCGGGTAGACTTTGAGGTTGGTGGTATGAGTTTCCATCGGCTTTTTTATTTACTGTCCCGAATTTTCCTTCATCTAAATTTGCATCTGTAGTTTCAGCTTCCCCTATTTCATGTAATTTATTTCGACTGATCGTATTGCATTCAGTCTCCTTATTATCAACGGACACGGCATCAGAACTCGACAAGGATGAATTTAATGGATTTGAAGGACTGTGTTTTGACTCTGAGGCTGTATGGCCGGAAATATCTGATTTGATACCTCGCGAAGAAATTCCCGAATTCCTCGGAGGGCTGGATGAGTTTTTCTGGGCCTTACTCGAAATTTGTTTATCGGACAGAGACTTGCGCCACTCTCTGCAAGAAGCTGGTCGTATCTTGGACGATGGTCGAAGTCCCAAAATTCCGTGAGAATTACGTGATTGACGAATCCCTCTGGAAAACATACTTACAGGTATGCGAGCCCAATGCGACCATTCATCAGCTATATTATCATTACAGCGGCGTTTCTTAGGAAATCCGGCAGTCCATAAATTTATCAATGCTAGTCTATAAAGGGTATAGCGCCTTTTCAGTATTCTCTATATAGTTCGAGTCAACTGCTATTGTCAAAGGGCCAAAGTTGACACCTCTACGAAATTTGACTTCCACCCTGAAGTAACATTCAATTGCAAAGAATGGGTGTGGAGATGATAGAAATAGAGCATAAAAACACAGGCGTGCCAAAGAATGGAACGATAATGATTCGGGACTTTGGTCACGGATTCAGATCTATTCCGTCCCGTTGCACCTCAACAAAACAATTCGTCAAATTTCATCCACGTATCGATTCCTGAGAAGAGTGTGTAAAATAAATAATTCATAAGACAAAACAATATTTTACTCACGAACACCACCACATACGTCAAATAAAGTCGAGGGTAAAAGTTTATCATGATGTTTGAAGCAAACACGCAGGGCTGCTAGCGACAAATGTCTAGCCAATGGTTAAAAGTCTGTGGATTACTATGGATTTAATATCGAAAATCTGTCTTCTAAAATGCAGCATTATTATTTCCGAAATGAGAAATGTTGCGGTATGACTCCATGTTTCATGAAGGCGTGGACAGTATCACGATAGCTTAATTTTCAATGTGCGGCGATGGTGGAATAATGTCTAAATCTTAACGGACCGAGTGAGCACATAATAACGAGAATGACGTGATATGCAAGCAGATGATTCTACCCAATAAATATAATATAAAATTAACCTAGTCATTGTAAACGTTATTGGCTCCACCTCGTGTGAAAGATAAATTACTAAGGTTTTCTAGCTAGGTTCGACCAAAAGAATCTTCCATCCTTTGTATTTTTTCATCTTTTAAATTAACGTCGTGCCTACGCGCAGCCCGTACTTTGGGTTGTCACATGCCGGTTTGCTCAGCCTAGGAAAAAAGCTACCCGACATGCTGGAGCCCTTGTGGACAGGCATGACGTTAAATTCAATCAAAATCAAACTCATGCTGATCTCGTGGAAGAGTGGTGGCAGAAGTTTCGGCCAGAACAATACAAAGATCTAGACCTCTTCATGCGCTGTAAACAGCCACCGGAACTGACTCTACCAAGATGGGTGTACCACCGTCTAATTGCGGCAAGAACTGCCCACCGGAACTACACCGACTACCATCGATGTTTCAACCACCAACATGAGGATCTAAAATGCGTTTGCGGCCGAGAGAAAAGGCCCTAGCATTTTTCACAGTGCCGACCTGCTTTGCTACGTTGGAGAAGCTGTGAGATGTTGGCCCCACCTGAGCCAAGGAGATAATTGGGGAGAAGGGATGGCAGAAGTTTTTCCAATTCCTAACTACAAGCAGATATTACAGTCTGCCGTAGAATGAACAGGGTGGGAGGTGACGACGCCAAGATTGTTTCTGATCCAAGAGGAGATGGTTGTGGAAGATAGGGATGCGGCGCGGAGAACCTTTTTTTGTCTCTTCTGGCTTCAATGCCGGTCATGTAGGTAGCAATGAGCCCTCAGAGCCCATCTACCCGTGTCACGTAAAAGATTTCAAATTCAAATTCAAAATCATCCTGGGGCCCTTGGGAGTTCAGCATTTTCTGTGAAGCATAGAACATACTACTTAGCGCCTTACTTGACGATTATTTTACAGAGAAGCGAGCTCTTCCACTGAGTTACTTTAGGTTTATCTCGTAGAGAATATATATCTACACGGTTTGCGAGGGAAAAGTCCTTGTAGACTGGAATCGTTTAGGTTAAAGGGGGGGAGGCTGCTATAGGACATTTCAGCAGTTGCAATTACAGGTGTGTTGATTAAAGGCGTTTTTGGATCTCGTCGACAAAACAGTTCTATTCACTCACCTTCCAAAGGCAAATGCGCCATTTTTCGCGCCTTAAATCCAAGGGATGCCTGTGGGAGGATATCGGGGTCCACTGAGTCGGGCCCGGTGACTGCCGAGCTGGCAGGAAAAGAAGTGATCTGGAGATTTTCTTCTCCACAAGAAGGTATTAGTAAGGCGTCTTCTTGATGGAATCGGCGATGATAGCCTGCGAAGTAGCAGTGGGGCATCCTTTGTATATTTACGCTCGGATCACTTACAGTCCTCATTATCACAATATTATACAGACTGTGCCTATCTCCTAGCGACGTCGTACGGACACTTATCATTTTACTTTTGATTTCATTTAACTCGATTCGGCGCCCTATGGGCCCATGCAGGCGGCTATGAACCTATCTATATATTTACAGGAGGAGGAAACCTTGCGGTAAAAAGCCCTTCCCCCTATTAATATTTGTATTCATCTATAGTCCTTCGTTACCTACAGGAAAAGTCATTGGCCTTGAGTCCGAGATAGGACTAGCTAAAATTATATTGGACCTCACCATCCTTTCACTGCCCTCATGTGCTGAAAAGAGAGCACTGTGGTCTTGACCTCGACCCCGATGGTCCAAATACTTTTGGTGGGGGATTGACCAGGAGCTGTTTGCGCGGGCGTCCTGGCCCTCTCTTTCGTACCTCCGGCTTTTTGCGGGACACCAGTGTGAACCCTTGGTAATCTGTAGATTTTGCCGTGGTTGGTATTGAAGATGCAGCTGGTGTAGTTTCTACTAAAGTTCTAGGGGGTGTCTGGAATGATAGAAGTGAACGTTGACCGTCAAATCAATACTGAACGAATCGTAAGATATTGGGGATTTACGGATCAGAGATAAGAGATTAGGGTTAGTGAAGTTTCTGGTTTTACTGAACTTATATTTTGGCTAATTAGATGTGTCAGGATTTAATCTACATCTAATTATCTGTGTTCTACCTCGCTTAGGTAGAAACATTATGTTCTGATTACGTGATGGAAAATATTTGCACCACCGAGTTCATTACCAACCGAGACCTCATCAAATCTAATAGCAATCGAAGATGAGTAGTCTTCGCCTACTCCGCACTGCGTGCAGTTTGGTCTGGTATGTCTAGATTTCAACCGATTCTCCTTTCCTAAATTCCGCCGTTCTCTCCAAAAGTACACATCGTGCCCGCTGAACGCTGGCCTTGTATGACGCGAAGTTTTGACACACCCCCTTCTGCCACGATTTATGGTCCTTGCCGCAGTTGCAGCAAAGCACCGAATTCCTCGGGCAGTCCCTGGTCTGATGGGTGCCCGCGCACTCACCACATCTCCTTACCCTATTGCAAGAGACTTGGGTATGCCCCCATTGACAGCAGTTGAAGGGCTGCTTGATTTGAGCTTGGGGTGACCAGAGCTGGGCCGTGTATAGCATTGAGTTGTAAACAATGCCGTTTCTTATCACTTCGCGTTGAAGTGCCTCTGTCGACAAACTCGCGACGATTGATCCTCGATTATGGCCATTTCTTCGCATACATCGGTGCTCCTTTCCGTCGAAGAGTCATCTCACCCTATTATTATCTTATTCGGGGATCAGAGCTTTTGTTTCTGCCATAATTTGATTCATAAATTCGCCGTTATTTGGATTTTTTCCTCCTCTTAAATTTGGCCCCAACGGAGTCCCCAAAATATCAACAGGGTAATCCTGCTTCAGGACGCAGAACTGCTTTGGCTGCGCCTTACTCAAGGCAGCGTCTCACTGGGAGACTGTCTGTACAAAAACCTCCGTATCATTGCTTCGCTGCTTCCTTACTGCGTATGCCCCATCAATGTGTATTTTTGCCTTGACTAGGAGCTCTGCCGGCTCCATGTTTTCTGCTCCTTGTACTCTTATTCGTACTGCCGCTCGAGTCGCTGGCGGTGCAAGGATAGAGGCGTATGTGGGTCGCCCTACCATTCCTAGTATTGCCGGAGCAGCCATCTTGCGCGACGGCTCCTCGAGATTCTTCGTAACTGCCTTCTCTAAGGCCAGCATCCGTTCTTCCATTCGTGAAGCCTTCAGCTTCGATTGTAACATCGTAGCGTGGGCTTTGAAGGCATCGAGTGCCTCACCTACTTCGACCATCGGCGTCGCAGATTTGTCAGTGCCTGCGATAACCAGTCTGTCTCTGACCTTGTTTAAAAATAACCCTACTGTCATTAATGTCTCCATGTTAACGCCTGTAGAGCTTGCGAGAGACTCTACAGCCGTAATTGCGGCCGTTCCGCTGTCCGTTCGTGGTGGTTGAGATGCCGTGAAAATTTTTCCAGCCGTGAAATCCACCTTTCCTGTCCCCCAACTCGCCATGCCGAAGCGCAACGAAAAAAATTCGAGGAATAAGGTAAGAGGGATTGATTGAGATGAATGCAATAATTAAAACGATGAAATAACGTTCGTGGAACGTGGTGCCGCTTTTGACCAAATGATGATGTTTTTTGTTATTATTATTATTATTATTATTATTATTATTATTATTATTATTATTATTATTATTATTATTATTATTATTATTATTATTATTATTATTATTATTATTATTATTATTATTATTATTATTATTATTATTATTATTATTATTATTATTATTATTATTATTATTATTATTATTATTATTATTATTATTATTATTATTATTATTATTATTATTATTATTATTATTATTATTATTATTATTATTATTATTATTATTATTATTATTATTATTATTATTATTATTATTATTATTATTATTATTATTATTATTATTATTATTATTATTATTATTATTATTATTATTTGAATTTGATTTCATTACCCTGATTTGGCGCCCTATGGGCCCATGCAGGTGGCTATAAACTCTATTTATAGATATTTTACATGAGGGGGAAACCTTCCGATAAAAACCCCCTTCTCCTTCAAATTATATCTGCGGTTCTTCGTTAACCTACAGGAAGCGCAATATGCCGTTAGTCCGAGACAGGACTAGCTAAAGTTATAGGTGACCTCGCCATCCTTTCCCAGCCCTCGCGTGCCGAAAAGTGATGACTGTGGTCTTGAGTTCGACCCCGATGGCGCAAATTGGTGTGTAG